CCAGCTCCATCCTCTACACTCGAGGCTTGGTCTTCTCAGTTTTGTCTGCAGTCCTATTCATCCTTCACTGCCTGGTCCCCTCATGGCCACATCCCCTTACAGACTTGCCTCCAGACTAGTTTCCTCCCGGTCTTGTCCCAAGTCTGATTTTTTTCTGATAATCCTGTCCTAATAGGTCCGCCTCCAAATCCACCTTCCCTTGATGGGCCATTTCCCTTATAGCTCCCCCCTCCCCCCAGGCCTCTTCCCCTCAAAGCTCCATTCCCTCCTGGCTCTGTTCCCCCACACAACCTGTGCTGTGGTTTCCTTCCCTGCCTGATCCCCAGCACCACCTCAGATCAGCCCTGTCCCCAGGCCCGAGGCCCACTCCTGGCATCCTGGGCATCCAAACTCTCCCCTCCCTGCCCAGTCCTGTTCCCTGCAGCCCCAGCCCTGCCCTTAGAGGCCTGGACTTGGGCCTGGACAGTTCCCAGGGTTCCCTGGCTGCCCGGGCACAGGGCTCAGAGACAGTGGGAGGTGCCTCCCATCCAGCATCCTCACAGGTAAAGAGCTGCCCTGCGGGGCAGCTTCCTTTTTCTCCTCATGGCCTCCTCTGCTCGGCTGGGGGAGGGAGACAAGGGTCTCAAGGCTGAAGAGTGGTAAGAGCTGGGCCCTAGGCCTTGCCTGCCCTGGTTACCCAGAGCTGTTGTTCCACCAGACCTGCTCCCATGGTGCCATGGCAACCAGGCTACCAGGGAACCCAGGTGGCGACACAGCCCAGACGCCCTGAGCCCAGAGGGCATGGTGAGGAGCACGGAGGTGGGCGAACAGGAGAGGGAATTAAGAGGGAGGTCTAGTGATGCCTGGGGAGAGGGGGGAGATGGGTGTGGCTGGGCCCAGGTAATGGTCTCTTTTGGGTAGGCACAGGGTTGAGGGGGCTCTTGCCTGGTGAAAGGGTTAAGGAGCCACTCCTCAGCTCCCACTTGGCAAAGGCCAGGGTGCAAGGCGGAGGAGAGCTGAGGTGGGTGTAGGGGGCTCCCTACCAGTGCAGGAGCTTGAGCTGCAGCAGGCCTGCCAGCCTTTGCAGAAGAGCACTTTGGGCTGGGTGCTGGGCTCCGCAGCGAAGCTGCACCCACAAGGCGGGTCCTGGGCTGCAGGGGTGGAGCTCCCGCCCACTGTTCGTATTCTACCCTTCCAAGTATCAGCCTGCAACACTACCAGAAGCTAGGCAGAAACAAACTGGGGGGCTGCTCTTTACCCCAAATTCTCTCTCCTCATGGGCCTCAGGGGCCTGTGAAGTCCCCCTTCAGGAGTCAGACTCAGCCTAGCCCCTTGCCCCTACCCCTACCCTTACCCCAGGCATTTAATATGCACCTTTCCTCCCCTTCAGGACAGCAGGATCTTGCCTACCACCTCTCAAACCTCTCTCTCAGTACACAGCTCCTGCTCAATTTTTAATCAATAGTCTCCCTGTTCATGAACCATCCATAGCTCCCATTGCCCACAAGAGACACCCCAGTTCCTTATTGTGGCATTTGAGGCCTCTCCAAGGTAACAATAGCTAATGCTTAGAGAGCATGCAGCATGTCCTGGCACTATTCTTACCACGTCACATTTAATAGCTTGTTTACTCTTCAAAACAACCCCATAAGATAGGTATTGTTATTATCTTTATTTTACACATAAAGGAACCAAGGCCCAGAGAGGTTAAGGAACATATCTATGATCACACACAGCTATTAACAACAGAACCAGGATCCAAATCCAGGCAGCCTGACTCCAGAGCTCACACTCTTCAACATTAAGCCATGCT